GGGTGGGTCAGGCCTGTACGCTGCAAGGCGGGGGGCGGGCTGCTGCGGGGCTGCCCCAAGGGTCAGCAGCAGCATGGCTGCGGACACGTGAGGTTGGGGTCGGGATTGGAAACTTGAACGGCCCTGCAGGTCGCCCGTTCCCCAGGCGGCAGCTGGGCTCGCAAGGCGGCCGCTGGGCCGCCTCGCGCCCGCCTGCCGGCGCGCGCGCGCGCGCACGCTTGCGGCGCCGGCCGATGCCGCGTGTGGAACGAACCGCGGTCATATGTAGGCCTGTGGCGCTCGGCGCGCCTCACCGTGTCCCATATTTTGCCCTGGCTGGCGGCGGCGATGGCCTCCGGCTGGTTGATGGCGCCGCGGCAGGCCTGCACCACGCCAACAGAGAGCCCCGTCACCGGGAGTATCACCGCGCCCGCGATGCCTGCGCGCGGGGCCGCGGCCGTGGTGAGCGCAGGCGCGGGCGAGGGCGCGTGGTGCGAAGTGGGGCCCCACGGGGCGGGGGCCGGGGCGTGTGCTGCTGCTGATACGTGGCGCCACATGGCGTCGCGCGTCGGTTGAGCTCGGGCGCGTCGCTGTGCCGACTCTCGCCTCGCTTGTGCGAGTGTCGTGTTGCTGTTCAAGACCATGGCATCAACACGATGCACAGCGCACACATGATACAGGTGCGGCAGCGGGCGCGAAGCAGCGGCGCAGCGCGACTGCCACCCACCGGTGGCGACACCTTTTGCAAACCCGACGAACCCATCCTGCGTGGCCCCTACCACGGGCGCCGCTATGAGGCCAACAATTCCTCCCACGAGGCCCTTTCCAAAAGACTTGGCCCCGCTCGACAAGCCCGCCTTGAAGTCCTTAGGTCTGCGCAGGCTGAAGATGTCCTGCAAGCTTGGCGTGCCCCTGCTGGGATCTCCTGCATCCATATCACTGCTGCATATGGCCACGAGCGATGGAGCGTACTCCAGACCGATCTGGCGCGATCTTTAGCTCTGGAAGCGTATATGGGTGGTGGATGGGCGTGAAATAAGTAATCCACATGAAATTTGTTTCAATAAAGGCACAGCAGCCTGCATGGGCATCCAAAATCAGGCCGGGGCATGCGACCTGTCATGCGCAGAGATGCTGATGTGGCCGGATGAGCAGGGACCGCTGCTGGCAGGACCACCCCCAAACAAACTGACAAGCACACATGCAGCTCCTGAAAGCATTGAAAGTAACCCTTTTTTGCATAGTTCCATGTACTGGGCCATCAGACCAGGGACGAGACGCTGCTGCCAGACGTAAAAGCTGCCGCAGGCGTCCAATGTTGACGAGCACGTGGGCACACAGTTGACGCTGCTTGACGGGGCGTTTCTGAAAGGGGAAGGCGCAGTAATCCCATTGACCATGGCTGCAGTCATGGGTGCGATGCCGAGGCGGCACACTCACCACCATGCGCCGCTCAGGGAACCCTACTCGCCACTTGGGCTCACCACACGCATTGAGCACCGCAGAACACGCACGCATTTCGACAAGACAACGGCCAGCACCACAAGGGCAGGGGACATTATTGAAACGCTGTCTGATCACCGCCGACGATGCTGGGTGCGCTTAGTTACAGCTGCAGCTGCTGGGCGCGTAGCGGCCAGCTCAGCAAGCGACGCATCAACCTCGGGGCGATCCAAGGTTTTCAGCCCCCAACAGGGTTTGCACCCCCCCTCTGGTTGGCAGTTTCATCTCGCAAAGCGAGGCCTTTAGGTTGCTTATGGCTATGATCAGGCGCGATCTTGTGCAGCGGCAGGACTCACTGCCGCACGATTCGGCGCGGGAGAAGGTCACGTGGTTCACAGCGGGACCCGGGCAGCTTGCCAGCTTGGGTCTGACCGGACTATGGGTTCAATCGGCTGCGCCAGCGACGCGTTGCTGCTGGCATTACGCACTAGAGGGTGGTTCTGTGTGGCAATGAATTGGTAGGCCCCCCTTGACCAGTCGCGAGGGGCACAGACTGCACACAGGGCACTGCAGACACTAGTGTTGGGATCCTTGCCATCCCCACCCTCCATCCGGCTTCCTGCGTCCTTCCAGGCTCAGTGGCGAGCGCGGCCCCTTCAGACTAGACCCTCTGCGCGGCTGCCCTTGCTACGAGACCCTTCTCCCCAGCAACACCCACAACCCTGGCTGCAGCAATGATTACTCCCCGCCGCCTCCCTTGCTGCTGCCGCCGCCGCCGCCGCCTCCCCGCCGCCCCTCCTCCTCCCTCTCCGCCATCTCGCACAGCCGCGCCTCAAGCTCCCGCACCAGGCGCGCCTTCACATCGGGATCAGACAACAGCCCCTCGATGTACGCAGACACGTCGTCCCCGCCCGTGCCCCTCGCTGCCGCCGCGCCCGCGCCGCCGCCGCCGCCGCCGCTGGCGTCCTTAAACCGCCGCACAACTCCGCGTCCCTCCGGCGACCGCATCATATCTGACAGCAGCGCCACCAGTCGCGCGTCCGCCTCCTCCGCTTCCGCCGCCACGCTGCCGCTGGCGCCGCCCGGCCCCGGCGGCTGGTCGGCGTCGCCGTCCGCCCGGCTGCTGGTGGGATCTGCGGCAGCCGGGGGGTCGGCGAGCGCCGCCCTGATCTCTGCCAGGTCAGCTTCTCGCTGGGCGTCCCGCAGCGCGGCCGCGCCGCCGCCGCTGCGCCGGAACTCCAGATCTGATAGCATCACCCTCGCTGCCGGCGTCAGCCGCTCGTCCGCCTGCTCGACCCCACCCCCGCTGCTGCCCGCCGGCTCCGAGGCCGGCACCTCTGCTCCCCGCCGCTCGTCGGCAGCGCCGACGGCGCCATCCGCGGGGTCGGCAGAGGGCGCCGCCGCCGCACCCTCTCGCGCCTTCTTGGAGGCCACTGCGGCGGCGACGGCGTCACGCATCTTCGCGCTGCGCTCCTGCATGCGCGCGAGCGCGGCGCGGCGGCGGCGGCGCTGGCGGTCGAGGCAGAAGCGCTGGTAGCCCGAGAAGAGGGCCTGTGGTTGAAATAACGTGACGGGTGGGTTGCATTAGAATAGGTTTCAATCGTTCAGGTTTGAGGTTTGAGATGCTGGTTGGTTGATTGGGGCTGGCGCCGGAAGTGGTCATCAGTCGAAGGGGTCTTCAGGCCTTCAGCAGCTGCGTGCCCCGACAGCTCGACTAGTAGGCACCGGCCCGGCATGGCAGCCCAACAGCCCGCCCGCCCGCGTTCCGCGCCCGCGCGATCGCTCCGCACGGCCCGCTGCTTACGCTCAACCCCCCACCAGCCCGAAACCAACACTCTCCCCAAACACCCTATCTGGACCCAAACCCTGCACCCAGAACCCAAAACCCACGACCCTGAACCCTAAAACGCACCTGCATGAGGAACGCCCCCGCGTACGGCGCCGCCAGGTTGCCCGTCCACACAAAGGCCAGCCCGCTGGCCACCCCCAGGGATACCTCCCTGGCGCCCTCCACGGCGTACACCACCAGGTTCTGCCGCTCCATGGAGGCCACCAGCTGCGCCTTGATCGCCTCAGCCTGCTCGCTGGAGCCCTTCTTGCCGTCGCTGCGGGGGAGGGGGGCGGGAT